TAGATAGATAGATAGATAGATAGATAGATAGATAGATAGATAGATAGATAGATAGATAGATAGATAGATAGATAGATAGATAGATAGATAGATATTGCCTAACCAAATTATGATTTGGGGCTGACCAGAAAGTACACTTCAAGGGGAATGATTTGAAGTTCTGGTGACTCTGTGGACCTTAGGAAGCTAATCATTGGCTTATTTTCTGGGAGTGTGTTACGGGATGTGTATTTTTCAAATATTCGTAAATATTCAGGCCTCATCACTGTACGCCTGTGTTTATGTTCTTGTTTCTTTAAAAAAAAATTAATTGTATTAAAAATGGACACTGGGACAAAGAAACTAATCATACACATTTAGCTAACATTGCTTCCTATTTGATTCTGTAAACTCAGATATGTCTTTATAGCTTTCACCTGTATTTAAAAAAATATATTAATGTTTAAAATATTTGTCAAAAGAAAATCTGTGGCCAATAATGTATTGACTCCACTACCACAACTGCACCTGTGTGCCAGCAGACAGATGCTGTCAATGTGACAAAGTGTAGGAGTAGACTGCCCACGGTTTAATGTTTTTCCAGTGACTCTCTTGATCAGACATTTTACGGTTGTTGTCTCTGCAGCTGGTTAAAGTTGAGTGACTGAAGGAGCCACAGGGAATAAAAGAGAGAGATGATGTTGATGTGACGATGACAACTGCTATGATGGTCGCAGCAGAGAAGAAAAAGGATGATGATGATGATGATGATAATGACAGCAGTGAGAAACATGCATGTCCATCATTTGGACATAATTCTTTGTGTAACTAAAAATCAAATCAAGCCTTTTGCAAAAGTAGCAGCTTACAAAGCTGTGAGGATTGACAGGTGCTCTGACATGTTGTTGAATAGATAGACGCTCGACAATACGGAGCTAAAAAAACCTCAATTGTGACTGAAAAGAAAAAAAATATTACACAATCAAACACAGTTTAGTGTAAAAGCACATAGCGTGGAACATAATTTAGAAGAGACAAACACTGAAAAGATTTTGATGCAAAACAAAAATGTCAAAAAGAAACACTTGTAAGAAACTCATTAGCTTACTTGAATAATTTACTTTGCTAATTGCTTCTTCGAGGCCTTTTAACATGGAGTCTTCTTCACGTGTGACTCACCTTACCTGCTGCCACTCTTTAGTTCATTATATTCACTTGATTATGCAACACTGCCTTTAGAACCATCTCTTGCTTCCTGCCTTAATTGGCTGATCTTTCATGTTTTTATCTGTGCAGAGGCACATGGGAATTCATTTATTCAGCTCTTCCTGATGACTGAGTGGCTTAGTGATAAAGTTATTTTGCAGCTGCGGTAAAAAAAGGAACACAGCAATCCGCTTTGTTTATCAGAAGAAAGATTTCAACGCACACCTATTCAACTAAAGTGCTATTTTTGCATCGTTTAGCGATGTGTTTTAGATGTTTATTTAAGCTTGTCTTGATGTAAAACTAACACCTCTTTCTTTGTACCTGTGAAGGCATCTATAGTTGCCGCTGTGCTCTGCTGTCTCCCTCGTCTTGCTGCCACAGTAATGGTGTATTCAGTTCCAGGCTCCAGATCTGTCAGCGTGGTCGTAGTTATATCTCTGGGCACTGTCAGCTGAAATACAGGGAATGAGATTAAATCAGATTAAGAACTGTGCACTGGAATATCGCTTCATAAATCAGTTTAGAGAGCAAGATCTCAATGGAAACAGAAAAGTACACATAAAGTATACATTTTACTACCACGTTAAAATAAACGGACTATTTGTTGTTTGTATTACTTCGGTTGTGACGCCAGAGGAAGATGTGTAGGTGACCCTGTAGTGATCGATCGGACCCTGGACCACACCCCACACCAGAGTGATGGTGTTGTCAGTCGAGGCGGTCACAGTTAGATCCAGGGGTACGTCTAGACCTGAAATAACAAAAGGAAAGGATTTCACCTCACGTACAAGAACTATCAAACATTTTAGCAAGAGTTTAAACAATAACCCCAAATAGATAAAATTATTTTTAAATGTGGGGTTTGTATGATCATTATCAAGAATCAATATCCTACCTGTAGTATAAATTTCCCAGAACATTAATAGTTTGGAATATCTGGTTGATGTTCGCTTAGGGGGGAGATGAGCTAAGAGCTAGAACAAGCGAAGTCTTTATTAAAACAACTCCATGGTGTTTACACAGAAGACTGAGTTGTCTGTGGTTTCATTTCCAGTTATGGTTCTTGAGCATGCAACAATTTAATCATAACTATGCAGCTGATGTAACTAAAAAATACAGTGGTAAATAAATCAACAAGTGTGCTATAAAATTAGTTGGATTTAACAATGTATTACTTTTGCATTGATTTCTCAGCTCATTTAAGCTGAAAATGGTTTGGTTTTTGCAGAATGAGTTTTATACAGACCACATCTGGTCTCTAACTTGCTCTGACTAGCCATTTGCTCACATCCTTGAAGGAATTTCCATCTTATATTGTAAAACTATAATGCTCTGAGACATTTCTACTACAGGTAAAATACTGGTTACGGATAACTCCATAAATCACATCGAAAGTAAATAAATAAACACACACACACATAT